CTGACCAGCACGGCCGACGTGGAGTTCCGCTGCCCCGAGGGAGACTCCTTCCACAGGAAGATGATGTTCATCAAGGTGTGCTCCTGCCACTACGACTGCCCCCGGGACAACGACATCTTCCTGGCTACCTACCACAGGAGGATGATCGGGGACCACGTCAGGAGCGAGCGGCAATAGCCCCCCCCCCCCGCCCATCCCGGGTCGGATCCGAGGTGTCGGGAGGGATCTGCGGGGCTTTGGTGGCTGTGTCCCAGGACAATGCAGCCTCTGCCCCCTCTGTGAGGGGCTGTGCTCTCCAGAGCAGCACCGTTCACACCAGTGCTCCCAGTGAGCTGAGGTCTGGGGGGGGGAACAGCCCCAGCTGCTCCAGCCCTCTGCCCCCAACCCGTGGTGCTGCACAGGCCAGCGAAGGAACCAGACACAGGCTCGAGCTGCAAACTTGATCCATGTTCCCACTGGCCAGATGGGGGAGTGGATCAAAGTGGCTCCAGCCTGTCTCCAGCCCAGAGCACAGCGGGCACAGTTCCCGATTCAGACCCCAGGAGCTCCTCCAGCACGAACTGGGGGTGGGCCAGGCTGCCAGACCGAAACCTGTCCCCTGTGGGTGCTGCTCTGGGCAGCTTTTAGTGCCCTGGTGAGCATTTCACAGAACCACAGAATGGTTTGGGTTGGGGGGATGTTAATGCTCATCTTGTAGCCCAGGTTGCTCCAAGCCCCACCCAACCTGGCCTTGGACACTTCCAGGGATCCAGGGGCAGCCACAGCTTCTCTGGGCAACCTGTGCCAGGGCCTGCCCACCCTAACAGGGAAGAATTTCTTCCTGATCTCTTCAGAAATGGCTCTGGGGTGGGAGAGAGGCCGGATCCCCCCAGTTCACACACCCACAGTTGTGTTGTGGCTCCAGAGTCTTTGCTCTGGATGTGTGTGAGTAGGAGGAGCACTGTTCATCTCGAGCCTCCCTGGGGAGTTTAAGGCACTGGCAAGAAAAATTCTTGTATTTGTAAATGGAACAGATCCCCTCTGGAGTTACTTAGTGACACAGACAGCTGTTGGCACTGAGGTCTCCAGTAGGATTCCCACCTGGGCACAGCCCTGGCAGAGTCTCTGCCATTAAGGACATCCCATAGCTCCAGGAGAGGCCAGCCCAGGAAGGTGCTGGTGGTGTGTCCAGCAGCTGTGCAGCCCCTGCAGCTCCACAGCTCCATGGAACTGCTGAGCTCTTGTGTAAAAACCTCTGCTGATTTTTTAGCAGAGACATCCAGGTACAGGGCTTGATCCTGTTCATCACATCCCCTGTGCAAATCCCAAGGAATTCCTGTTCCAGCAGGAGCAGCAGCCCCAAGGCTTGACCCCACTACATCTCCCCCCAGAGCAGAGCCTGATGCCAGGGGACAGTCCCAGCTGACCCCAAATGCTGCCCTGAACCCCCAAACTCCCCTGACACACCAGCTCAGGGCCCGTGTCCCATCCCAGCCCCTCTTCTTACTCTCCCAGCCTGCAGCAGCTCCTGAGCCTTTATGCTCCTGTAATCGATTTGAACTGTAAATAATTTATCTGGTTTTGTTTCTGTTTTTATTTTTAAGGCCCTTGTACAGCTCCTGTATCCCATTGGCACAGCCCTGCTCGTGCCATTCCCCCTCTCTGAGCTTCTCTCCAGCCTTTCCCTCGGCTGCTGAGCCTCCAACCATGCTGAGGTTGCACTTTACTCAAGGCTAATAAATATCTCTTTATTTTTTATATATTTTATATATTTATTTGTTTGTTTGACATGTTTATTTTTCACATCCCGTGTGAGGCTCCTGCCTGGGCCCCCCTTCAGCCTTTCCCCAGTGCTCTCAGCCTGCAGGGACCGGTGCTGGGACCCTCTGCAGAGCTGAGGGCTGGGTGTGGAGGGGATGGGGGTCCCAGAAAGTCCCTTTCCCCCCACCCAAATAGCAGCGGGGCTGGTGTTGGTGTCTCAGGGGCCCACAAATTACAGCTCCTGCTCGGGGAGCGAGGGGGGACAAGCAGAGCCCTCCCTCTGCCTGCTGAAGGACCCAGAAGTCCTTAATACCTGATTAAAAATAACGCCGGGAGCAGATGTGAGCAGGAGTCGGTGATAGCGGGGCCAGAACGCGAGGGGCTTTGCAGCGGCTTAACAGCTTATGGATTCATCTCCCTCTCATCACATTAGCCAGGGGCTCCCTCCCCTCCCACCACCGCGGGGGCGAGAGGCTCTTCCTCCCCCCAAACCTTCCTCCTCCCCCGGGAAGGCTCGGGGTTCCCCGGGAGGGGCAGGGGATGGCGGGACAAGCCCCCATTGCCCTTGAGCTGCGGGCTGTTGAGGATCCGAGCCCGGGGCAGGATCTGTCCAGCGGCTCTCCGGGGGCTGGAAAGGCCCTGGTGGGGGCAGAGGGGGGGACACACGGTGATGGACACGCGGTGACAGTCCCGGCCGGTGTCCCCAGGGCGGTGGCCATTAGGTGGCACCAGGGACCGTCCCCAGGGGGACATCCCGACCCGGGGCAAGGTGTGACGGGGAGCAGGGCCTTGGCTGGCCCTGGGGGTGACCCTGGGGCACACCCGCCTGCTCCAGCCCAGCCCCGACATCCAGTGCCGCGGCAGGGCCGGCACAGCAGAGCGGGCAGCGATGCCCTTGGTGCGGGGACCGAATTCCAGCCCGCCCCTCTCCATGGCTGTCCCGTCCCGGGGGAGCCGCTGTCCCCCCTTATCTCCGCAGCCGCCGCCTGCGCGGCCCCGATAGCCCGGGTGTGGCCCCGGGGCTGGGTTCGGGGCACCTCAGGGACCCCGGAGCCCTTTATCAGCGCCGGCCACGCCGCAGCAGCGTGGGGTGGGCGCTGGACGGGGAACCCCCTCGGCTGGCCCGGCCCCCGCGGGGAGGGGGTTTCCCTGAGAAAAGTTAAGAAAGAGGGTGGAAAAAAAAAATCCCCCAAAGCGCCGATCCTGCGGGTTTTGGGGGACATTTGGGGCTCTCCCGGCCCGGCCCGGGGTCCCCCCACGCCGCGCGGGGATCCCCGCGGGGTCTCCTTCTCCTTATATGGGCCGGTGACGTCACGGGGGCGCTGGGAGGGGGGATTCCTGGCCACGCCCCTTCACCTGCGGGCCCCGCCCACTGCAGCGGCGCGCGGACGGCCACGCCTCCCACCCGGCGCGTGCTTGACGGGCGGGGGGGGCAGCCAATGGGAGCGGTCGGTGCGCGCGGTGGGGCGGGGCCGGCGCGGTGACGTCAGAGGGGGCGGGGCCGGCGGTGCAGGTGGAGGCAGCGCGGAGCGGAGCGGCCCCGGTGAGTGGGGGGGGGAAGGGACAT